TTACTCGACCGTCAAAATGGCCTTAGGCATCACCCATCATTCTTGTCAAAAAGTCAACCGAAGAACTACGGCTTTGTGTGGATTAGCGGAAGCTAAATTCGGTCACTCGAAAGGACTCATTTCCGTTACAAATAATGAATAACCCAACAGACGCCCTGACTGGCTCACGTTTGTTTACTACCTTGTACCTAGTTTCCGGTTATTAGCAGGTCGAGCTACACACGGACGACAGGTTTAAGTCTGGTTATTGTCCCGTCCAGTCTTCACCAATTCCAGGCCAGACCGTTCGCATTAACAAATACGCCTGCAACTTTTCAGCGCCTAATGCACAGCTCTGGTAATATTGATACCGAGAAGCTGTCTAGTTGATCTAGACCAAATCATTGTGCACTATAGGATTGCAGAAGAACATAATCAGAGCCTTATAGCCATCTCGGATCGTCTGTTACTTCTGGGTTTAAAACTTAAGCCCTCGAAGTGTCAATTCCTAAGAGAAGTAATGGCCTGTCTACGTCACATCGTGTCTGGAGAAGAGCACCTTGTGACCCGGTGAAGCTCGAGCGCGTGCGCTCATGACCGGTTCCAAAAAACGCTGACGAAGTGCATAGCTTTCTCGGCCTTGTCTCCTACTATCGGCGCTTCGTTCGGCAGTTTGCCAATATTGCTAGTCCGTTGAACGAACTTCTGAAGGCAGGTCAAGCTTTCATTTGGGGAAGTGCGCAACAGGAAGCATTTGAGACGTTTCGAGCTGCACTGTGTGGCACCAATTTTGACATTCTCTGACGCGCACATCCGCTGGCCCTTTTGGAGACTGATGTCAGTGACACTGGTATCGAACTTGTACTCTCGCAACGTACCACGGAAGGAACGGAATCGGTTATCGCGTATGTGGGTTGAAGTCTCGCGAAGTGAGCGCAGTTATTGCACAACACGAGAAGAAACGCTGGCATTTGTTTTTCATCAAGCACTTAAGGCACTATTTGCTCGTCCACAAGTTCATTGTGTGTACTGACTCTCAATTATTGATCTTTCGAAATCCCCAGAGACAGATCACCCGTTGGTGGAAACAATTGCAAGACTACGACTTTGAATGTCAGCGTCGTCCAGACACAAAGCATGAAAATGTTGACGCTTTATCTCGAAGGCTTGTCAGGGATCACGAACCATGAACATCTTGCACTGCTGTTTCATCATCATCATCATTATACACGTTAGCTAGAGGTGGGAAAACACCGCTATTGTGCCGCAATACATGAAGGAAATACATACATATAATACAATACACAAAGGAAAAATAGATACAACAGTTGCATGCCAGCTGAGCTACCAGCAACGGATAGGCATCGTTCTGGTAAGCTACCAGCCAGCTACTAGGCAACAAGAAAAAATTATGTTTTACCCTACGAAATGAGATCGTAGATGGAGGGGGAGGCTAAAAGGCATGGGGAGGGACAAAGAAACTCACAGCATGAACGCCACTGTGGTCGGCTCCTTGCCATATCAGCAAGTGTATCCAGCCAAACCTGTTCACCGTCTTTTGGACCCCAACCAGGGAGCCATGACGCTCCAAGCGAGGCCAGCACAGAAGTGGGGGCCTTCATTCCTCTCGACGAAGCCATCGCTTGGCCACCCCTCCTCTTCCACCCACATCCCCGGTGAGCAAACAACACACGTCGAGGGAGTCGGTGGGCTGGCATGCGTAACATGTGGCCGAGCCATCGGAGCCTGGTGCATGAAATAACGGTGCTGAGCGGTTCAGTTCCTTTTCCTGTGCCGTAAACAAGACGTCGAACATGCTCGTTGCTCACGCGGTATTCCCACCAGATGTGAGCTAAATTACGAAGGCACCGGTGGTCGAACGTAACTAGCCTCTTCAGGTCCGTTGCTTTAAGCGGCCAGGTTTTACAACCGTACAGTAAGGTCGAACGTATCGCTGCATTGTACACTCTACCCTTCAGGGCAAGAGTGGTGTCGCGCCGGCGCCATAAGTGGCGAAGGTTAGCAAAAGCGCCCCGATCTTTTGCTATACGGTTCGTGATCTCATCTTCAATCGCACGGGCGCTGATACAACTTCCCAGGTAATTGGATTTCGGAACGACTTCTAGCTGATCCCCACCAAGGGTCAGCGTAGGAGGCGATCCCTGCCAATCTTGGAGGAACGCTTTGCACTTCGATGGTGCAAAGCAAAGCCCGAAGCGGCTGACAGCCAGTGCTAATCTGTCCAGCGCGGCTTGGCACGTCTGGGAGCTGTCACAGATAAGGGCAATGTCGTCTGCATACTCCAAGTCAAGAAGTCGTTCTCCTGGGAGTAGCTCCACACCTTCCAAGTAATGTCCTGTAAATGCAAACTCCATGGCTTCGTCAATAGCGAAGTTGAAGAGGAAAGGTGACAGCGGGCATCCTTGTCTCACATCGCTGGAGATATTGAAGGGTGGCGACAGGTTGCCGTAAGCCTTCACTCTGCCCGTGCTACGCGCATATAATGCTTGGCTAATGTTTACATATTTCTCGGGCACACCTTTCCTGAGTAAACAATTCCAAAGGGCACATCGATCAACCGAATCGAAGGCACCTTTGATGTCGAGGAACACGACTAGGGTGGGCCGCCAATATGACCGGCGAAGAATCGAACAATTCTAACCGATTAAATTGCTTTTAAAAATGCTCAGCCCAACGCTCCAAACGTTTTGAAAAATTGTGGATAGGCTGTCCACTCTCATCACAAATTGTTTCACTAACACCAGGTCTCCTGCTTCCCGTTTCCCGTATCTGACGGAATAACTTACTATGGTTACCAAGGGCAGCGGCCACTTCCATCTCTGACGCACGGTGAGACCACCAAGATTCGCGGTCTCTCTTCAGGCTAGCGCGGAGTTTTGCCCGGAGCTCTTTGCGAGTTTCATTGCTCGCCTCCAGCCGGGATATGCCGGCGAGCGTCGATAAGTTCCAGAGACCGAGAAGAGACCCAATGTTCATGTTGGCTTTTAGACATACCACATGAGGATTTGCCCGCTGCTAGTAAGGTCTGGCAAACATGTGACCAGTGACCATCAATTGTCTCCAGTGAGCGATTACTCAACTCGCATGTCAGCGTACTTCGATGCGCATTCAGAACAGCTGGCTTTGTCAGTTGGCTGGTGTCAATGCGCTCACAGCGTCTTGGGCGTCCGCCAAAGCGCATCCGCATGTCAGCACATACAAGTGCACTGCTGTCTGCGTAACTGCTGTCATCCTTGACGCCCCGCGGATAGAGGAATGGATTCAATTGCAGTCGGCGGAGCCGGAGCTGAGCCTCTTGTATAATTGCATCGTCCGAGATAAAGACTAACCAGTGGATCAGGATCTGGCAGGCGCCAGTTGGGAAACCATCTGCGTATGGTGTCTATGGCCGCATTTACGCGTGATCAACGGTGTCATGTATCTCCAAAACGGACCGGCGAAGAATTGTTATGCCTACTTTCGCCACGCACAAAGTGATGCGAAGGATCCACGAAGAGTTGGGACACGCCGGACAATAAAATGGAGGCCGCAATTTGACGTCGGTTCTGGTGGCCCCATCTACGGCTTGACGTCGTTATCTATTGCCAGTCGTGCGCTGATTGCGTAAGAGTAAAAAAAACTCCTCAACTACTACTCATAGTCCACTACAGCCAATGGCGGCCGGCTTTCCGAACGAGATCGTGAATATCGACATCATTGGCCCGATGCCGAAGACTGCAAGAGGTCATCGTTATGTCCTTTATCAAACGGCGCGAGGCAGTCCCTTTTCAAAATGTAGACGCATGGAATGTGGCAGTAGCGTTCGTTAGCAACTGGGCGGCAAGGTGCGGATCATTCTATCAGTCGCGCTCAGATATGGCGAAGAGTCGACCTCAGTGGCGTTTGTGTTGTGAATCTCTGTCCTCCCTTCCCCTTTAGCTTCCCCCAGCAACCATCAAAAATGTGATACTAGCATTATGTTGCTTTTTATAGCTCTTAGGCCTACATTACTTATTGTCTTGTTTTTTTTTCTTGCTGCACATTATCTGCAGTGTTTCTCACCCTCGGCTAACATGAATTGATGATGATGATGATGACGATGGTGTTGGTGGTGATGATGATGATTATGATCATGATGATCATGATTGCACTCAGACCGCGGAGCCAACTTCGAGTGCATACTCATGAGCTAGATTGTCATAATTTCGACATCCGGAGGGAAACGGAATAGTTGAACGCACGAACCTTACGCTGATGACGCTATTACAGGTTTTCCTGACTACCAAAACTCCTCGGGAATTGGACATACCTGGCCTAAATGTTTACTGGCCTATCGCTCGTCCGTCCACTCATCGACCGGTCAGACACCACATCTCATGATGGCGGGCCGTGAACTGCGTCTTCCCTTGGATACCCTGCTGCCGACGTCACACCATGTATCTCTAATCGCATCGGAGCATCTACTTCGGTTACAGTTAAGTGTTGAAAGCACACCAGATCGCACAAGCGCATCAGAAAACCTCGCAGTGTCACTAGAAGGCTTACTTTGACTGGAATGCTTTCGGAAGTCTGTTCAATCCTGGTGATACGGCTCAACGCAACAGTATCACCACCGGGCGTCCCTGCAACGCCCCGTCGAAACTGGGAAGGACCGATCGTTGTGGAACAAGTGCTGTCAGGTATAACTTAACGAATCATGAAGCCGGACAATCGTGCTTCCTCAACGATTGTTCACTTCAACAGGCTGAAGCGTGCCAAGGGAGTCTCACGCCCTGTTGACAACGCATGTTAGAAGAGAACAAAGTAACGTGACGCACCATATTGTTTTAATCCCCCACGGAACCGACGCGTGTCATCTTGATTGCAGACCGCTCAGCTTGCTTTTGTTTGCTTCTCGATTATTCGGCCACTTTCTGGTGTCGGCTTATCAGAACACATTATACGTTATTTTTCAATATCGGTTTTTACTAGATGATTGGGGTTTTACTTCCGGCCACTTACGTTTTCTCTGTTTTCCATTGAAGGTCATCAGGTCCATCGCGACCTACTCTGCGTGACGGTTACAGAAAAGCTTGGAGTCTCCGACCCGGACGAGCATTACATTTCCCTATTTTTATACCGCCTTTCTGGCAGTATTGAGTGATTTCCTTTTCCATTGTTGCACAAATGTCAGTCCGGAGAAGTGCAGACCCCGTGTGTCTTCAATACATTTGGAATGCCATCGAGGCTGACCCAGACGGCTCTATCGGATCATCATTTGCTTCTATCCTGTCCGCCATCCAATCTAACTGTGACTCAAAATTGAACGCGTCCCGACTGCAGGCTGAATTGTCAAACGCCGTGCGCGATGGTTGCATTCAAGCCCATCAGGACAAGTATAGATTGGTGGACGGTTTTGAAAACATTAAAAGGGATGGCAAGGACTGGTGAGTCATACCTCCCAAAGCAGAATATTTATCTATCACTTCACTAATAATATCGCTCCATAGTTGTATTCCAATTCCATACACGCTAAACTAACATCTTTGTCGGCATCTAACCCGCGTACTTGGTTTCCAAAACAACTACCTTATTGACCCAGCCCGATATACAACCGATGGACACCATAAATGAGTTGCAGTAGAACATTACTCGCTCACAAGGCGAACTCAGAGTGGAATTTACTACGGCTTATACGCACTCTCGTTTTGGCCTTTGCGGCACACTTTCATCTCTTCCTAACTTTCCGTATTGGCCCGATCAACCTATCATGTGTCCGCATGTAATGACGAAGACTTACTTCGTGTGCTAACAAGTCTTTTGTTAGGCACCTCTTGATGCTTATCGCGAAATATAAGAGGTGTGGTACAAGGCTCAAAAGAATAATTCCTTTTAGCAGTTGAACGATTATTAATTGGGACTAATTTTCTAGATCGGGCTGTACCAACATGATGGCTATCAGTTAACTGCTGTTTCATCTGAATCATTGTATTAGCAGAAAAAGATCCAACATGCCATCCACATCGAAATAGTTCAGCAAAATGCTTGCTTGAAACAATTACCGAATCTGCAATAACACTAGGACTAGGTAACCACTTCCGGAAGTGTGTCACGCGGCCAGCAAATTAACGAATCTGTGCAACATGGTCTGTACGCGAAATTTCCAACTTCTATATATGCCATCGGGCGATCGGTGTTTCCGCAACAGAACATCTACCTCAGATGAGCATTGTCCCAAATAGAGGATTCTGAACGTTGTAATTAGCCTCCTATGTACCAACATGTGGAGTCGCAATTCACGGCGCCTCTGTTGGTAGGTTACTCCACGAAGTGTAGAAATCATGCGACAGACTAAGTGCTGCTGTTTCAACTCACCTTCCAACAAGCACCGTATATAATTGAGAACAATCCCGCTCTTCCGGTAGCCATTACGGCGTGAACAGATGATGTGGGCTTTGCAGACCTGCAACAGTTTATTGTTAATTTACTTGTTGCCTGTGAATCTAGTTACTGGCCAGTAGTCAACCTCCGTTACTCAATACTTATGTGCCTAGTGTCGTATTTGCGAAAATACTTGGTCTTGCACTGCCAATGGCAACACAGTTTCACAGAGGGTAGTCACTCTTGCCCCACCCGCCTTGCCGCTTCACTTGTCTTGTTTTTGGATCAAATCCATTCATTTTAGCCACCTTTTTACCTTTGCTCTAATTCATTTAGTTTTAAGTCTCTCGAGGTTGCTTCTGAGCGCGGTTGCTGAGAACCTTGCGCGTCGCACGGCCGCGAAGCGCCGTTACGGCGTACAGCTGACACATTATTATTATTATTATTATTATTATTATTATTATTACACTTAACTGGTGAAGCTACAGGAATAGGTTGTAGCAACCTATTAAAGCCGCTTCGTTGTATTCCTAATTTTCAAGGTAAGCAATTAGAAGAATAGTTTTAATCTCGATGGATATGGTTTGGATATGGTTTGTATGCCTCAATAGTACCTTATCATTTGCTGGGTCGTGGATCTTCACTCACTCGGGACGTCTCCATTTCGATAAATGGCCGCTTTTACAATGCCTCAGTTTTGTGTTGTATGGAAGCATCATTCATTAACTATACACGTTAGTTGGAGGTGGAAAACATAGTGCCGCAATACATAAGAAACACGGAAACGCGCAACAGAGGCACGCCAGCTGAGCTACCAGTACCGGATAGATATTGTTCCGCAGAGCTACCAACCGGCTATTGTGCCTTAAACAATATATATTGTGCCTGGGATCGTGATTAGAGGGGAGGGCAATGAAACTCAAGCATAAAGGCCACTGAGATCGGTTTCTAGTCATGTCAACCAGGGAGCCTGGAGACTCCAACCAAGATCTACTTCGACGTGATGGTCGTCATTCCTCTTGACCAAGTCATTGCTCGGACACCCCTCCTCTTCTTCCATCCAGACTTCCTGCGTGCAAACAACACACATTGCGAGACCCGGTGTGCAGACAAGAACAACACGTGGCCTAACCATCGGGACCTGGTGCATAACATTACGGCGCTGAGCAGTTCACTCCTGTTCAATAAGCTAGGCGTCGAACACGCTCATTGCTCACACTGTGTTTCCATCAGACATGAGCCTAACTGCGATGGCACCGGTGGTCGAGCGTACCTAGCCTCTTTACGCCTGCCGATCTAATGGGCCGGGTATCACAATCATACCGTGGGATCGAATGTACGGCTGCATTGTAAACTCTACTCTTCAGGGAGGGACTGATGTCGTGCCGACGCCATAGATTGCATAGGTTGGCGAAAGCGTTTTGTGGTTTTGCTATACGGTTTATAACCTCAACTTCGATTCCACGTGCGCTGATACAATTACCCTATTTTTCGGACGATAAGGCGCATTGGGTTATAAGACGCAGTATCAGTTGATCCCCAGCTTGAGAGGCTTATCGTATGAAAACCGGTGCATGAAACTTGGGCTCTACACCTTGTCGTATCGCCGTGTTCGAGTGGATCTTATCAAGACCTACCGTATTTTACATCTCGGTCATTTCCCCATGCTGAGGTCGTTACTCCACTTGCGAGTACCATGCACCACACGTGGGCACAGGTACAAACTCGTGGTACCTGATCTGAAGAAAATCCCACACCCCCTGTGTTTCGAGCGGAAGGTTGTGCACGCCTGGAACAGTCTGCCAGGACACGTCGTCGAGGCCGAATCTGTGCAGAAATTCAAATCTTTGTTGGATTTACACTTCACTAACATACGTTTCAGAGAACGGTTGCCACTTGACAACGATATCACCCACTTGTGACTCACTGTGTGAACAAGCATTTTGTGTGCTACAAAAGGAGTTGCTGAACCATCTCAGGATAACCACCGGACGTGTTTATTTATTTTTTTTAAATGTTTTTGATTATCACCCGATGGAGTTGTACAGAACTATTTTCTACTTGCTCCAAAATACAGTATTCAGTGAACGGATCTAATTTCATACATAAGGCGCACCGGGTTATACGGTACATAGAGCGAAACAAAAGTCGGATAAGTCAGACTTAATTCAAACTCACTAACAATATTGGATGGTTGAATAGTTGGTTAGTTTATCGCCGCCATAGAAGCTCGAATCAGTTGGCTTCTGCCACCCCCAAAACAAGTCTGTCTAGACAACATAGAAAGCTGACTCCACGAGATTCCTGACCAGCGATTACGCTTCGACAATCAAAGTCGTAATAAAGCATTTCGGCAGATTTTTCAGCGTAATGTGAACACAGAATTTGATTCGCAGTCACTAGGCCTCAGCACAATCATTCATACATAAGGCGCACCAAAATATAGGGCGCAACGCCAATTTTTTAAATCAAATATAAGGGTTTTAAGTGCGCTTTATAGCACGAAAAATACGGCGCCTAGGCAGTGGAGTTTTTGAACGACTTCTAATTGATCCCCACCAAGGGTCAGCGCAGGAAGCGGTTCCTGCCAATCTTGGAAGAAAGCTTTGCACTTCGAAGGTGCAAAGTAAAGGCCGGAACAGCTGACAGCCAGTGCTACTCCGTTCAGTGCTGCTTGGCACGTTTGTGAGCTGTCATATATGAGGGCATTGTCGTCGGCATATTCCAAGTCAAGAATTCGTTCATCTGGGAGCAGCTCCACGTTTTCTGTTGTGTCCTGCGAAAGCGATCTCCATGATTTCGCCAATATCTTTATTGAAGAGGAATATGACAGCGGGGATCCCTGTCTTACGCTGCTAGATATATTGAAATGCGGACACAACACACGAGCGATCCTCCTCAAACAACGGTGTCCAAGGGGGAAAGATGACACATTTCCTCCACGTGAATTGTTTTGTACTCACTCCTTTGCAACAACACTGAACTAACAGAGGCACTGTAAACACGGCGCTTTATCCAGTATGAGACGTCCCGACGACCCCACAAGTGTCTCAGACTGACAGCTGATCGCGCTTTAGCGAGGCGAAGAGAAATTTCCTTACTGATAGTACCGCAAGCAGAAACTCAGCTCCCAAGGTAGACGGAACCATTTACCCGTTCAACTTGTGCACCTTCAAGGGTGAGCACAAGAGTGGGTGTGGGCCGTTCCTGGAGCAGTGCTTTACATTTCCTGGGAGCGAAACTCATGCCATGCCTAGCTGCTTTAACCTCCAAATGTTTCGGAATGAAATGCATACTTTGTGGATCGTCACCGAGTAAGGCGATATCATCAGCACAAGTCGGTCGTGCGCTCACTCGCTAGAAGCTCCAGGTCAAATTTGGGAAACCCTCTAGCTCTCGACAGGATGTCTTCGATTGCGAAGTTGAAGAGAAATCGGGACATAGGGCAGCCATGTCTCACCACGTCACTGACAGATAAGTGCGAGAAATGCTTACTGTGGACCCTCACACTGCCGAAGACGTGGAGGTAGAGTGCGCGTGGGATGACATTACACTACTCTGGGACCCCATTCTTTAGCAAGCGACGAGTCAACTGCAGCTGGGATGTTTAGGGGTGCGACATTGGTAGGCCTGTGGTAAATGTGGCGGTGTTCGGATCGTGATGATTTGATCTACTCATACATGACCGCGACGACAACCAGCTTGTTCTTCACAGTAAACACGATTTACTTATTGGGGATAGCCTACGAAGTAGAATGAATGCCAATAGCGTAAGAGCAACAAGAATGAGACTGATCTCTCGATGATTGACAGATAAAGTGCTTGCATCTTCCCTTTAAATCGGGACAGTTGATTTGCCCTACTTTTTCATGCCATATTTCGGAGAACAATAAGTTGGGGTGGCTGATAATGACTGCACTGCCATATTTGAACAGCTCCAGAGGAACTCCGTCTGAACTAGCAGCCTTGAATCGCTTCGACCGTCGAATCTCGAGGTCAACTTCCGCTTCACCGTGATTCTAGTGGGACGAGCCAGGGTAAGCAGCAAGGTGCACTGTGTGCACGC